TGATGGCCTAACTTTTGAAAATTTGGTTTCCTAGGCCACCACTTCAAAATGGCCTAGAAGCCACACCAGGGGCATGTTAGAGCATTTTTAAGCCATTTTAACACGGTGGCCTAACTTTTGCAAGTTGGGGTTTTCTAGGCCAGCATCCTAAAATGGGCTAAAAATGACCGGGCATGCGCCTGGCGTGTTTTCTAGGTCATCTTGAAGTGGTGGCGTAGAAAACCAAATTTTCAAAAGTTAGGCCACCACTACTAAAAATGATTTTCAGCCAAAAAGAAGCGCTAAAAGCTCACTCGAAATTGCCGGGATTCTCCTTCATCCTTCCAGCACAATCGTTACAAATTCGAACTTTGGTCTCGTATCCCATCGGCGGATAAGTGGTCCAATTATCACAGCACGACCCGCAGACAGCCGATCCACACGTTCTACAGTGATGTTGTCGCAGTCCGACGACCTTGCGTTGCCACATCGCCTGAAGATTCCAGAAGAACGGTTGATTGCACTTCTGACAGCAGTCGGACGTCTTCCATTCGGGCGTCTCGACACGACGCACGTCCATGTCCCAGCACATTAGTTTCCCGTGCTCATCTGCTGAGAAGAGTCGTTTCGCGGCCGGTGCCGCACACAGGGTTGTCACTTTTCCATTGTGACCACTGCAAAATTGAGGAGGGAAATTTGAATTTTTACGATTTTTAGGCCAGTTTTGTCGGATTTTGAGTCATTTTTCATGATTTTTGGGTAATTTTTCATGATTTTTGAGTCATTTTTCATGATTTTTGAGTCATTTTTCATGATTTTTGAGTCATTTTTCATGATTTTTGAGTCATTTTTCATGATTTTTGAGTCATTTTTCATGATTTTTGAGTCATTTATTATGATTTTTATGTCGATTTTCGTCAGAAATAGTCAGAAATTAGAGCAAAATTGACTGAAAATCGGCTATTTTTTAGCGAAAATTGGGCTTCAGAGCCCAAAATATCTGGAAAATGAGCTAAAAATCAAAAAAAAAAAACATACGATTGTTCGTTTTGAAATGTCATTTTTTACCGTTTTCAGGTCGATTCTTACGGACTTGAAGTCAATTTTTAGTTATTTTGAACTCTTAAAACTGATTTTTCGACCATTTTCAGTCAATTTTGGTCTATTTTAAGCCATGTTCATCCATTTCTAGACCGATTTCAGCCATTTTTAGAATTTCCAAATGCATTTTTAGATCATTTGAAGCCCTTTTTCGACGATTCCAGTCATTTTTGGACCATTTCTATGCCATTTTAGCATGTTGGCCTAACTTTTGCAAATTGAGTTTCCTAGGCCACCACGCTAAAACGACCTAAAATGACCCTAGTATGGTTTCTAGGTCACTTTGATTTGGTGGCCTAATTTTCGCAAGTTTGGTTTTCTAGGCCACCACTTCGAAATGGCCTAGAAAGCATACAAGGGGCATGTTAGGCTATTTCTAGGCCACTATGGTGGTCTCGTCTAGCCTATCCTAGTGTTTCGGAGTCTCGACAAGTCTCGTTGAGTCTCGAGACCCAACGAGACATGGCGAGACTTGAAGAAACCTGACGAGACTTGAAGTTTTCATTAGGTCTCGTTCATGTCTCGGTCTCATCTAGCCTGGTCTCGTCAGGTCTCGATGGAGTTGTCGCGCCACTGTTAGCCGAATTTCGACTAAAAACACACCAGAGTCATGTTAGGGCATTTTTAGGTCATTTTGAAGTGCTGGCCTAGAAAACCCCACTTGCAAAAGTTAGGCCACCACATTCAAATGACATAGGAAAACCACCAGGTGCATGTGAGAGCATTTCTACACCAAAAAAGTTGGTGGCCTAGAAAATCCCTTGCGAAAGTTCGGCCACCATGCTCAAATAGCCCAGAAATGTCATTTTTAGCGATTTCTGGGTCGATTGTTATGATTTTCGTGTCATTTTTACGTATTTTCACTCACTTCAGCTCATAAGCCTCTCCTTTTCCGCCTCCAATATCCCACATTATGATGAGATGATCACTGGATCCCGAGTATAACACCTTCTTATTGCCATCCCATGTCAATGATGTGATCGAGTCTGGAACGAAATATGGAACAATTGGAGAAAAAAAATGAGGGATCGGCGTGGCGGCCTAAGAATCCCAAATTTCGTTTTCTAGGCCATGTGCCGTATTCTAAGCCGCCTTAAGCCTATGGCAAGGCCCTCATGGTATAATGACCTAGAAAACACACCAGGGTCATTTTTGGTCATTTCTGGGCCATT